TTTTGAAAAGAAATGTGAATAGTTGCATTAAAATTGGGTAAGCTCACATTTGCATCATATATACAAATATTAAATCTGCAAGATATTTAGAGAATCATTGTTTGAATAACAATTTGTGTCGAAATGATGAATTTACATTTTCTAAACTCCTAGTCTTGAGAATAAAATGTAGGACTAAAAGGACCTCAGAACTACCAATGGCCTTAGTTGTATCCCCTGATTATCACATTTCTTTGCATACAGAACTCTCCTCAAAAGTGATATAGAACTAAAGAGGGCAGGGCAGAAGAGTGCAAAATGCAATAGATCATTGTTGTTGAGAATCAGGCAACATTCAAGTTTAATAAATTAAATTATCCAGAATATTTGTGTTTCCACTTTTCAAATCCTATCGGACCAATTCCATTTCATCTGCATACATTTTTATTTCTCAGTATTATGTAAATAAAAGTTATTATCAATGCCAATCCATTATTGTCGACCTCATGGGGTAAACCAAATAGGAATCACAAACAGACAAGATAATTCTACTTTATTGTAAAGCAAGAATGAAAGTATATCTTATCCCGCCATCTCCTTTACAGCCCCAAAAACTTATCTGAGCCTCTTGCCCCTCCACTATCCAGTTGCAGGCTGTGCTGTCTCTGATCTGACCTTTTTCTTTTCTCTTAATCCAGTTTCCCACATATCATCAAAATTTACAGGTAGTGCTCGATTTACAACACAATTGGGACCAGAATTTCGTTGCTAAGCAATGTGATTGTAAACTGCATAGTCACATGACAGCATTGCTTATATATGGCAAATTAGGCATTCCTATTGCCAATGTAATCCAAAGACCCACAGGACATTAAGCAGCAAGAGGCAAGAATCCCAAGTAAAGAAAATGAGAGGACATGGAGGAATTATGGGTATTAATTCAGCCAAATTTATTTAATTCATTTTATTCGATTTTAAATTTTGTATATCTATGTGTTTTATTTCATGGCTGTGCACCGCCCTGAGTCCTTTGGGAGTAGGGTGGTATAGAAATTCAATAAAATAAATAAATAAATAAATAAATAAATAAATAAATAAATAAATAAATAAATAAATAAATAAATGAGGGAGGCCTGGGCTGGGCCACACAGGGTGCCCTGCAGTGGTGGGTTGTCCCCGGTTCACACCGGTTCTATAGAACCTATAGTAAAACCGGTGGGAGGCCCCGCCCACTGACCCCGACATCACCAAAATGCTTCTGCGCATGTGCAAAAGAGCACGCGCGAGAATGAAGTGAATGCATGCATGCGGCCCCGCTACGAACCGGTAGTAAAGGTAAGTAGAATCCACCCCTGGTTCCGTGGTATAGTGGAAGCCCAGGAAAGCTGGAGAAAGTATATACTGGGGCTCAGAGGTTTCTTGGCATGCTCTGGCTTTGGGGCTACAAGCTTTTTGCAACTCCAAAGTCATAGTGCACCACAAAGCCCTCTTGCACTATGAGGAAAGACTAGAGTTGCAGCACACCAGGAAGGCCTTTTGCACCACATGAAACCCAGTTCAAGCCTGGCCCAGCAGTGTGGCACAAAAGTCACTGAATCCTAGGAAGCAAGCCCAGCCCAGTCCCAGCCACAGTGGCCCTTGTTTCCATGCAGTCTGAGACCCCTGCTGTACTGCACTCTTCTGCTCCAGCTCATTTTTGTGTTCCTGCTGCTGCTGAGGCAATCCCACCACAGTCCTTCATGAGGTAACCAGTTGTCACGTGAGGCCATCTTCCCAAGGCCTTTCCTCACAAGGAAACTGCCGTGTGTGATCTTGGGAAAACAGCTTGTGTGGCCAGAAGCTTTTTGGTCAGCAGCAAAAGCAAGAAGTTGAAGGTCAGGGAGCACAGATGTGGGATGGGTGGGGGACATAGGCCGATGAGGAGAATCGAAGCGCCTCTGCAGTTTAGGTTGCCAAGGCAAAATTCAGGCAGGTTGCCAAGCGCCTGAATTTTGATCACATAAGTTCATTACGTTACTTACTGGTTGTAAGTTCCTTCATTTGGTGCCATTGTACCCTCACTCACTGAATAAGTGGTTGTTAAATTGAGGATTAGCTGTTTGTCAAGAGATGGGAAGCCTGCAGACTTCCATAACTGTTAATTTCAAATTCTATCATTCTCCATCTCCATTTGTATGTGGATAGATATTGGTATTTATAGCCAGAAGATATAAATCCACCATGAATTATAGTAATCAGAGATACTCCTAGTTCATTATAAACCAATTAAAAATAGCCATTATATAAAGCAGGGGGCCATAGGTGGGGAACTACTTTCTGTCAGAAATGTGCCAGTTTTCTTTGCTGTTGGTTTCAAGTAGACTTACCAGATATCAGAGGTGGGCATCACATATTGTAAACAACCAGTGCACCAGAAGCAAAAATGTGAGCGGGTGTGGCATCGAAAAACTGGCGATTATATAGGACATGATAGCACCAGGGCGGGTGGCGGGCCTAGCCATTTGTCAGAAATACCAGTTCACTTGAACTAGCAGGAGCCCTGAGCCCACCACTGCCAGATATTCAGCAAAAGGAGAACATATTCTATTTTCTGTCCTCAGGTCTTTTGTCCCACAGCCACAGCATTAAAATCAATTGTCAAGGTAAATTTTGAGTGTCTTCTGAAAAGGATTCTACAGTAGTCATTCAATTTTTTTCATACTATGGCTCTGTAAATTGTCTGTTTCCATGGTACATCGATAGACTTGACAGCCTAGATTTACATTACTTATTTCCTGATTCCAGCAATTGGCTTCAATCCAGCCCTTTCAAATCTATGATCACTATAGTCTGTAGATCACATGACTTACCATACATTTCTATGATGAAATTTGGAAAGTGCATCATTGTCTATTCTATATTAATATGGAATCAGTAATATAGAGTGATCTTGAAAATAAACATTTGTTGCAAAATTGTGACTGAAAAACTAGTCTTTTTTATGCTGGAAAAAGTAATATCCTATAGATGTAGATTGCAGACCTATTGTAGGTACATTTTTTGAAGTGTTTCATTGTAATTTTTGTTTCTAAAGAAACTAAAGAAATTAGTGTCTCCTAATCTTACCCCCAACCCCACCTTTAACCTCTTGTCCAATTGTCTTGTCTTTTCCTTTGCATGTTCAAGTATCTGGCACCCTAGTTTCAAAGCATAATATCACAGTATTCTTATTTTGTGAAGCGTTTTCTGAATTTTACTGCTTTGAAACTGCTGGCTGTTACATTTCCTCTGTTTCCTTCTAAAATAATTTCATGTATTAGAGTTCTGTCTAATTGCTAGGAACTGCAATGTAGGTCCTTAACAGGAAAAGAAGATATCAAAAGAAAAGAAGATATGAAAAAGAAGTTATCAATACATGAATTATTTTAAAAGAAAAAAAGCTGCTGCACAGTTTATTTGCACAATCCAATATGTGCCCATATGTGTCATCAGACAGAATACCCAAAGGGATGTTTTCGAAAATTAAATATTCTTAAATTTACTCTAAACAAAAGTACAATATGAATATAGAGTATACTTAGCCCAAGGAGAACAGATTTGCACTTTTGTAGTTTTGAACTACATCCTCTGATAGAACAAAGACATCACTGTAATTCAAACACTGATTTTTATCTTTCTTACCACTTATAACTGGAGCCCCCAAATAAACAACAACAACAAAAAAATACTTGTCACCTACAGTATTTTTTTCAATCTTTTTTCCTCTGACACCAGGTAATTGTCATTAGCTACTCTTACAATGAGTGCAGTTTGATACCAGTAGTGGTTAAGGCATCAGGTTAGAAACTGGGAGACTATGAGTTCTACTCCTGTCTTGGGCACAAAATCTGCTAAGAGACCTTGGGCCAATCACTCTCTCTCAGCGTAGGAAGGAGGCAATGGCAAATGGCACTTCTTAAAAACCTTCCCAAGAAAACTACTGGGATTTGTTCAGTCAGTTTCTGAGAACAGGTCACATCTTAACAAAAGGAAAATAAAATCCTTATAGTGGCTTTCCAAATCTAAATTATACAAATGTCTCAGATCTGCTGATTTTCGTGTGTCAGGGAGGAGAACAGTCACAAACTGCTTTCCTCTTTTGCTATTCAACAAGACCATTCTCTGCCCTCCACTGAAATCAGCAGAGGCACTGGAAAATAAAATGCCAGCACAAAATCTTTACAAGGTAGTGGAGAGAGAATGTTCATAAAACATTACCCCACTTCTTCTAACCATATCTTATATCCAAGTAATATATTTTCATTGTTTTTTTCCATTGAAATCAATGACAAAATAAGCTGTAAAGGTGGGAAATTCCAATGTGTAGAAATAATTCTTGGAAATTACATTTCAACTGATTCAATAGAAGATTTTCTGCCTCAAATGAAAAGTTCTGGCCTCTAATTTCACTTATGATTTATCTGATTTTTCCTAATATTGAACCATATTTTGGAGGGAGTCGCCACTGACTAATTGCCCAGAGTAATTCTATCTTCCTCCAAAGACTTCTGAGCCAATGCAGTAAACTGCCCTCATTGCCTTCTCTTAGCAATGTGCAAAATACAGGGCTCTATTTCTCTTCTCCTTTCCTCTCCCTCCATCACCAAGCAGGCTTGTTTCTCCTCTTGAAGGCCATTATAATCCACTATCCAATGAGAAAGACAGGAAGGACAAACATCATTGTCATTGTTTTTATGACTATACTAATGGCACATTATTATTATACTTTTATTTATTATTATATTATAATTTTCTATGTCACTCTAGGAGCCTTATCCAGTAAAAAGCAGGATAAAGTATTTCAAATTAATAACTGAATGAATTACTTAATGCAAGCACCAAATTACATTTTGCCAAAGCTATAAAAGAATCTCAGAAACGCTGTATATTCAGCCCGCCCACTGGATGCCAGTTTTTCCAGCCAGCAAAGATTTTGAGACCCCTACCACTCAGTAGGGGCCTTGTAGCCTTCCAGCTTTTATTCTCACATCCCCATTCCTGACCTGTGGGAGGGCAATGTTGAGCTGACGCTGAAGTGACTCCTTCTCATGGCCCAATTCACGCAGGCGGAGTTGGGAGGTAGCCAAACTTTCCTGGGTGTCACGCAAAGTCTCCAGTAGCCGTTCTCGCTCATTCAACATGTTGACCATGAGTTGCTCGAAATTGGCATCATCAGCCCCGTAGGCCGAGCCACGGCGGTTGTCCTCATTAATGGTTGGCATCACTTCGCACATCATCATGCCAAGTAAAGTGGGGAGGGATGCCCTGAGGGCTCCTCTAGAAGGAACAGAAGAGTACCTCTAGATTCTGAAAAAAGAAAATAAAAAATATCAAATATCACTTGGGAAAATGAGAATCTGTAGGAAAAGAGTCAAACCAGAATGTTGATTTCAGATAGCCACTGATGGAATAATAGTTTAAAATAAGAATATTTACTTTGCACAATGAGAATCCCAAGTTTAATTGCAGGCTATTTGATTAAAAAGACTAACAGAATAGAAACTAATGGAAGAAGCCATTCCTTAAAGCCATGGGCTATTATTGTCATTTGGGACAATTTCATTGACCAAGTTGAGGTATAAGAACTGTAAGTGGACTTCTCCAAATGGTATAACCTACAATTTCCAGCATTCTTCACTGTTGGTCAAGCTAATGAGAACCACTGGAAGTTGAAACTGAACAAAATAAAACAGGCCATATGATTTCCTCTCTGGTTTACACCAAGAACTTCTCAGCACCTCTTGAATGGAAGATTCAATGATTTTCCCAAATAATTCACTGTTAACATGAGAATTGTCTTGGATTTGCTGACAATATGATAATAAAGGCAGATGGGCCTTTCTGTCCAATCTGAATTTAGAGGAAACCCCTTAAATTCAGATCATTTCCTGGCGGTATTAGGATAGTCTGAGCTGATGCAGGTAGCAGAATCCTAAAGCGGTAAGTAGATACTCAGAGGATATTTTAGGGAATAGGAAGAAGGGTTAAGGACCCTAAAAAAAGGAAGGCTTGAAGCCTGTTGCCAAAACCCACCACAGCTTCAAGCATTTGACGTGGCAAGATAAATTGAACTCAGACAGCTATAAATTCAAATTTAGAAGTACAGCTGGGGGGTGGGGAGATGGAAAAGGAGCTTACAGCCACAGGGTCTGGAATCAGCAGACAAGACAACACACATATTTCTGCTAATTTATTACAAATGGGAATAATGGGATCAGGGATGTTACCACAGTCAGTGCTGCACTTTTGTCACCACTTCCCAAGTAAAAATATCAGTTCCTCTTCAACACTGAGCTGCTAATGGAGAAGAAGAATGGAAGGTTAAGAGAGCTTGAAATGACTTTGTGGGCAGATGAAGAGAGGCAGAAAATCACATGGCAGGCATGAAGTTCAGCCGGTTCGGGAACTAGAGATGCCAGAAACCAGCCAGCCTCACCCCCGCCTTGATTTCCAACCCCATTTCAGGGCAAGTCAATCTCTAGACCCATCTTTCCGTCCTGTGCAGATGGCTTTGAACAGCAATTTTTATCACTACTAACCATTGACTATAATACATAGGAGAAGATTGGTTTTGTAATCTAAAATAGATGGAGGCAATTGATTGGAGAAGTGTCCTAGAGCCAATATAGCCTCAATTCTGTGTGTCACAAATTAGCCAATTTCCAGGAGTTATACAGCCACTCCTTCACTTCTAGAAATATAGCCCAGCAGCTCTAAATTCATATCTTAGTTCAGCAAAGTAAGGTTAAAACAAACAACAAACCAAACACCCCCTCCCTGTCTATTAAACTGGTGTATTGCTTAGGATTCATATAGGTCTTTTTAATATTCAAAACACGATGTATGTTTTATAATAGTAATAATTGTGCCTTTCTATAGGATAATAGTTTAGAAAGCCAAATAAAATGGTCAAGGAATTGAATTTTTTTGTTTAGCATACTATAGAGTTGTAAATTTTGTACTGAGTAATAAATATTGTGCAAGATGCTTACTTATTATCCATCAAACAGGTTTTATCCTGTACTTAATCTTAAATTTATTCTAATATACTAGATTCTGCAAAACATTGCAACAAGCACTGCACATTATTTCGATTGGAGGACTGATACCTTTTAGTTAATAAGAAAGAACCAGAAATATGTCTTCTTTTTTATAAAATTCAGCTGGGTTTTTAAGAGGATTGCTATTATTTGCTGATTTACGTGCTACATAATTTAATCTCATTTGTTTTTTTCTATTGAGTTTTTACCATTTTACATCTTACTATTTATTTATTTAAAATATTTACTCCATATCAGATTTCTAGGCTTTGTATATTTAAAATTAAAAAATTAAAATGCAATACCTGTTACAAATAGAACAACAATAAAAAATAATTCATAAGCTTTCAAATGCTAAGATGAACAAAAATGTTAACGTAACCCTGAAATTGTAAAATTGTTTCAGCTATTGTAGAAAGTAAAGGCTGTGTTCATACAACTCATAGAACCATAAACTCACTGATCACACTTTAATCAACCATGTGCAGCAAATTCAACCATCTAGTTAATTTATGACTCTATGTACCATGGACCATGTAAATTCAAACTTATCAAAATCTGATAAATCATGGACAAGTTAATTGTGGGTAGTGTCTATTGTGTGAACACACCTATAAGTAAATAGTAGAAATAAGGAACGTGGAAAAAGGAATGGCTGAAAATTACAAGGATCTCCATGTGGTCTCTGGTGCAATATTTTCAATACAGACGGAAGAGACACCTATGAGGGTATAGGGAAGTTTCCAAGAACAGTGTAGCACTGTGGCATATTGTTGATTCAAAGGTTTGTACAATTTAATCCTGTGCCAATTATTTGGGTTGAAAGCTGTCATTCCTGTTCTGTGTTAGTACCAGTAACATAGATCAAATATGCACAGAAGGTAGAACAGGATTTACTGGTAGGTATTTGGATGATATGCAGTAGATCAGCAAAGTTTTTGACTTATCAGCAGTTTAACAAAAGCAAGTAAAATGGAAAATTAAACAACATACATTAAAATCTGTAAAATGTAGTTTTATGTTAATCCTATATTACTAAAGATACTAAAAGTACTATTTAAGTTATTTTTGAAATTCTACTAAAGATTAAGGGAGTCTTGTGTTCAAATCCCCCAGTCTATATAATTTAGATGTAGTTTCTATTCACACACAAAAGTAGTAAAATAGAATACAAGTAGTCCTTGATTTACAGCTATAATTGAGCATGGAATTATGGTTGTAAATTGTGGCAGTCGTTAAGCAGGTCACCATATGACTGTCTGATTTTAACCATTTTTTTGGTAGTTATTAAAAAACACTGAAATAGTTAAACAAATCTATTTTATTCAATAGGAGTTTTTTGCTGGAAACTGGAAACAATGGAAAACAGCAAAAAGCAGCAAAAATCATGATTATGTGTGGGCCTATATACGAGCCAATTACCACGCACTCAAAATACAATCATGTGACTATGATTGTAGGGGGGCAATATACAGCCATCAGAATTTCAGAACTACTTTTTTAGGACCCATTATAACTTTGAATTGTTACTATGTGACTAGTTGCTAAGCAAGGACTACCTGTAAACCTCACTATGCCTTTTATTTTCCTCCTGAAATCTAATTTTTAGTCCGTTTTTAATCAATGGATTTTTATAGTAAAATGTACAAGCCAAAAAGAAGTTATTAAAGCATAAAATATGTCTACTTCTGATTATAATGAATTATACCAGCAAATAATCCAACATAATTTTCGCACACACATACGCACCGGATGGCCTCCAAAAGTTGATTGGCCATTTTGGGGACTGAAATCTAACTCCTCTGGAAGAAAGTAGGTTGGGGTAGAGTGTTAAGGCAATTGTCTTATTACGTGTCATAAACTTTAATATTCTTACTTTCCTTTACCACAGTCCCTTACAATATAGGAAGTGGATTCAGAATGAGCTTGCACATAACAATTAAACCAAAGAAACTTCAATTATTGGGCGGGTCAGAGAAATTATTAACAAGTAATAGCTATGTTTTCCAAATCCAATGTTTGCAGTCATATAACATGCTTATGTGAACTCAGTCAAGATAAGGGGAGAGATGAAAGGACTAACTCTCATCTGTCACATCTTCCTAAATCATTTCCTCTGCCACACAATAAATTCCTTTATTTCTGCCCTTTATCTTCTCTTCAAGAAGACTGATGCTTATATCCTACAAAAGGAAGGAGACACATCATAAAATAGAACAAACTATTCAATTACTAACATCTTCTAAATGCAATCTAAAAAGAATTGGTATAATTGAAATAAACATACAAGGCATCTTGACACCATGGGAAAGAGAAAGTCCATTGAGGAAAGTATCCAAGTGCTAGTAATGGCAGCTTCAAGGCTTTTATTTTCGTACAAATCTTTCCATGTGGAACCAGGTTAGGACCAACAATCCTTGAAAAAGATAACTGTCTTCTGTGAATTAGGACACATGGCCTCTTGTTATCAGTATCCTCCTTTTCCTTTTATTTATGGGATCATTGGCACTCTGGCTAGAGAACCTAATTCATTGTAAGCATGGCACTTCTTCTAAAAAATAGCTATCTCTGTTGATGTTGAATTGAGTCTTTGTCTTACAATACCTCCCATTTTGTCAATTCACACATTTTCTCCAGCACCATTGCTATGATATTCCTGCTTCTTTACCTTCTGCCAAGCTAAGCTCTATGTCTGGAACAGCCTCCATATTCAGGCCCTTCCCAAAACCTGTGTCTTCCACAAAACAAAACATACCTGAACTAATGCAGAAATTATGTCTTCATATCTTTTCCTTTTGTTTTGTTTGCTTCCATGAAAAGCTTTTGATTCAAATATTACTTCAACTGGACCAGCTAGGTAATTTCAGGCCAAGCCCCACAGCCTTAGTTAGACAGAAAGACATGAGTGCGCTGCATAACAGGATATATTTTTGTGATCTTTTTTGCAAAGACACGAGAGTATGCATGCACATAAAAGCAGAATATTTTTCTAGAATAATGGAGACAAAAATATTAAGCAGCTATTTCCATAGGGAATAAAGTAGATCCTGGCTGGAATCATTGAACAGGTTAAACCCTTATCCTTGTAGGTAGGACATGATAAAGCAGAACGGGGAGTCAGATAGCTAATGGGGACAGGGGCTCTGGGAAATAAGAGAAGGACACAGCTGTAAATATAAAGCTTTATACGTATACACAGAGCTGTAGATATAAACTATAGTGCAATAAACAGAGCAAGGATGACTCTGAGGACTAGCAGTTTCATTT